CATGGGTATGATCAAGCCGACTGGCTCAGTGTGTTTTCCTTGCTCCATGGTGTGTGTGACTTGTGACTTCACAGTGCACCGAATTACGACGTTGGGTTGGGGGGGGGGGCAACCATCATGCAGATTGTGCAAACTGCTGTCTGTGATAATTAAGTGATAATTATCTTTGCTAATTGTAGTTAGGGCATAAAACTCAATAAGATGACCTAACAACGATGAACCAACAGTTACATATTGTTTTCAATCGTGTTAAATATTATATGTTCTCGGTTATTCCGCCACTGCTTCAACATCTATACTACAATTCAAGGAATCTCTGTCTGTCTGTCCGTCTGTCTGTCTGTCTGTCTGTCCGCCGATTATCTCCAGAACCGGGCACCGTATGGAATTGAAAATCGGCGGGTGCATTGCTCCGGATAGCAGAATGTGCAGTGCCAAGTTTGAAGTGGTTTGGACCAGCGGTTGTCGAAAAAGCTGCAAAAAAGCAGCATTTTCTGAGGCAAACGCGGCAGTATATAGCTTAGAACTCCGCGCACTTATGTTCTTTTCAATTGTTTACGTCATGTTAAAGCAAGAGCGCGCGTGCTCAATATGACGCAAACAATGCAAAAAGGACGGGCACGCGCACGTGCATTGTAGGGCGATACCATTGTCCAGTATGGGTGAATAGCACTGCGTACCATATGTTTCCGTACGTGATGACTGCACGGGCACATGCATTTTGCAGTCGATTGAACCACTATTGTAGGCGGTGGATTGAGCAACCTTACTCACGTAGGTGAGTAGCTGCACGGGCGTATTGGTGAATATCAGTGCCGGGGCCCTGCAAAAATGACGGGCATATTGTAGGGCTATAGCACTGCACACCATGTCTTCGTACGTACATATACGTGAGTGGCATGCACGGGCACATGCATTTTGTACTCAACTGAGCAACCATCACTGCACAGAATGTGCCGGGGGGGGGGGGGTTGACGACATTTTGTGAGTTTAACTTGCGAGTGTGCGTTCACACCGTTGAATAATGTGCGTTGTTTGCACGAGCTGCAGTTCTCAACTGCCCCTTCCGAACACGCATATTTTCGACTGGCCCTGCACTAGTCTTACTATAATTCCAGGAATCTCTGTCTGTCTGTCTGTCCGCCGATTATCTCCAGAACCGGGCACCGTATGAAGTTGAGAATCGGCGGGTGTATTTCTCGGGGCCACAGAATGTGCAGTGCCAAGTTTGAAGTTGTTTGGAACAGCGGTTCTCGGTTCTCGAAAAAGCTGCAAAAAAGCAGTATTTTCGGAGGCAAACGTGGCAGCTTAGAACATAACACCACGCACTGCCGTTCTTTTCAATTGATTACGTCATGTATAGGCTAAAGCGCGCGCGCTCAATATGACGCAAACAATGCACGGACACGCGCACGTGCAGTGGTGTAGGCCGACACATTGTCCAGTACGGGTGAATAGCACTGCATACCATGTTTTCGTATGTACACGGGCACATTATTTTTGCAGTCGACTGAGCGACCATTGTAGGTGGTCGAACTTCAAACTTGGCACAAACTTTGACGTAAGTGTGCGTTCAACCTGTGAAAACAACACCATTGAATCGCGTGCGTTGTTTGCACGAGCAGTTCTCCAAAACTCTGCAAGTATGCAACCTATACCAGCGGCAAAGCAATTTGCGCTTCCCGAACATGCACATTTTAGACGGGCACTGCACTAGTTTGTTTAAATTCCACAGATAGTTTTATTTCGTTCCAGAAGTGAAGTTGTCGGGCTCCATTGTTAATTCCGATTTCAAATGTACACACTAATAGATTTCATATTTTGGTCGAGTGAAAACATCACGCTTTAATATACTGTGACACTTCAGCGTAAAGGCCACATCATCACTTTATAGTATTCATTACTTTATGAAATAGCCAGAACTGTGATTTATGCAGAGTCAGCTGTATATGTAAACTTGGGTCGTTGCATCATTGGATTGTAATAGGATTGCACAACCGGACTATGTTTCCTATAAAAAGCTAGGCTAGATCTTGACATCACAGGATTTGTTCGAAGTGCGGACGGTCACTCACATGCTTGTAAGTATATAGTTAGAATAAAGAAACCAGGAACTCCATATTGACAACGCAGAGAATGACAGTCTCGGTTATGTATGTGCCCCACCGTAGGAACAAAATAATGTCGTGCTGGATTACTTTATGGATGCCCACAATTTTTCAGTGGGGGGCGCTGGGGGGGGGGGGGCTGGAACATTTCATGGGGGGCGTCATGTAGATCAATGATAATTTTTTTAGAAACTCAAAATCTCGGGGGGGGGGGCGACAAGGTTTCATGGGGGGGGGGGGGCTGTCGCCCCCCCCCCCCCCCACCCGTGGCTACGCCACTGCCCACTGCACTCTTGTAAAGACGCCGATGAGGACCGTCTGAACTCGGAAGCAAATACATAGGGATAATAATATAGTGCGCTGGATGATCCCCACGAAACGTTGCAATAATATTCTGTTTCCTTCACTCCCAGAGCCTGGAAATTCGTCTCGTGGAGCCCCAAAACATTCTAGAACAAATATTTCCATGAAATTTGAATGCATATATTGGTCCAGGAGAAGCCTGTTTTATTGTGTTACTCTGGTAAATAACATCTAGCCAATCCAAACCTTTAGAATAAGGATGCTGTTTTTCGCTATAGGCCCACACCAAAAAAGGTGGGTGAAACACTTTAAGTATTTACGACAAGGTATATTTGAAGGTCCATACTTGATTTTTATCTAGATGTTCTCCTGATCGACGTCGGTTCAGATCAATGCAAGTGAACCAGTTTGACGTGTCGTATACAGTGTATCCCAGATACACTGTATGCCATCTGCCTGGTGCCCGGCAGAAGGGCATAATGAGCGTTCTGATGCAAAAATCATTTTCAAGCAAATTGCATTGAAAGGTTCCATTGTTCCCTCGCGTGCATTATGTATCCAATGTTCTCCCACACGTAATATAAATCATACGAATTTGAAATTTGTCACACGTATGAATCATAAGTTTTGGATCAACTTGTATTAATTTTTGATGAAAATGTTTAAATTTCATTCAAATGGAGGCAGTTTTCTGCATATATGCCCTTCTGCTGGGAACATTTTGGTCATTACGCGCTATTGCATAAGGGCATATGCACATTATGCCCTTCTGCCGGGCACACGCCGATTAATTTGTTTAGTGTTTTTGTTTCATGCCGTTGATGTTGTTATTGCCTGTGGGAAAATTAACTGAATCGTTGGGAAAAATTTTAAAGCCATGAATAGAAACTACTCTGTATTTTATCAAGGGCCAATATTTAATTTTATCAGAATCAGATTTTATGTACCAACATGTGTTATAAAATAAAGACATACCGATAGTCTCTTCTTGTTTGCATGTGGAATGTGTTCGTGTGCATGTGATACATGTTCGTGGTCTAGCTCCTTCTCTCCATTAATAATTTACTAGCACAAGCTAATGCCGCAAAAAGTGTAAATTTCGATTTTATGAAGCTATTAGTTATGGTGTTAAAATGTTCAATCAATTCATTTTATTTTTCTTTAGGCAATAAACAACATCAACAGCATGAAAAACACCAAACAAATTTAGTCTTACATTTTGAATTTCGTTTAGATATGGCCGGCTGCTGATTTGTCTGGGCCCGTTTTTTTCTGGTACACACTGTATGACATGACCACTTTCGTTAGCCGCGATTAATGTTGTCCTCTTCAATTGTATAGTTTTCACAAGAATGGAACATGTGTTCGTTGACGTCATACTTGAAACTTTTTTTTAAAGCGGACTATAACTTGCCATTGGCAGTTTCCCTTTCCGACTACGTCCTTCATCCGCGCTAGGACCATAGAGCTCAGTGTTTATTATTGTTTGCGTTGGTGCGCTACGGAGAACAGAGAGTTCAACAAGGTTATCTACATGTACGTCATGTCTTTGTGTGTTTTCCCGATAAATTCACGCACTCAATGCGTGACGTCAACGGTGCGCTCAAGGGAGGTATAGGCATTGTCAACATGTATATTATTGCCATGGAATCTGGCTGTGTTGACATGAGGAATTTTTCTTTGCGTGGAAACTAATTCTTGTTGATCAGTTACATTTTCCGTTTTCATGGAGACGAGTACGATATTTGTCATTATTTTTGTTGATTAAGTGTCTGGGATTCAATTCATCAGTCACAGTAATTAAAATGGTCAAGACAAGTGTTTCACCGTACCCGTATAGGCCTACAACTATCAGCGTATTATAGGCCTACCAGGTTATATCATGGAGGTAGGAATGCCCTCTTGGTTACATAACGGTTTGCAAATCGGAAGTTGTGGTGACGTGATGTCAACTTTCAGCAAACTGTTCTCGATCGTCTGCATGCACTGCACGTATCTCTTGAAGTGGAAGATACTAACCGTTACTTTGGGTTAAATGACTTGCAAAATGATGCTTAAAACATATTTGGATTGCCCGTCGGTTGCTCATTGGTTGCTCGTTTGTATGACGCCACATAACAGGACACGTGCATATTTTGTGACGATGAGGGTGGTAACTAAGGACGCTCGTTGCATAGCTACTCGTTTCATAAACGATGGATGGGTTTGCGTACGTGTTTTTATCAGCATGTCAGTGAGAGCTAGGGTCTTACAGAGACGTAATAGGTCTACAAAAAATCTGCATTTTTTGGTTGGTGATACGTGTTTTGGTAATTATTTTTTATTATTTCATAGTTTCTTTGTTAGGTTCAGGGTGATTTCTTAGCCCTATAGTACAGCTCAGCTGGAGGCTGCAAACATTTTTCTATCTTAAAAGGCGGATTCTTCCAAAATCCTCGGGATTTTACTGAAGCAACCGTTTCTGTTTGGCCATGGACATCCTGTTTGGATTTATTTATGAACCTTGGATTTAGACAGTTTAAATGCATAATAAATGACAATACGATGGGGGAGACGATGTAGTTGACGTCGATGGTGATAACGAGGAATATAAAAGTGCTGGTAAAAAGTGCGGTAACGGTGGTGATGATGATAAAAGTAGTGATGAGATGATTAGCCTGATGAGGGTGAAAATGCCTCGCTGTGAGGGTGGTGATGGTGATAAGGATATTCCCGGTTGGATGGCGAGGATGACACAATTATGATGGTGAAGAGAGTGATGATTGTGACCCTGTTTGAGGATAATGTTGGTTGTTACGGTGCATGGTGATCTGGGTGGTGAGGTTCGGGTCATTAAATATATCAATGTACATCATTGGCATTTGCTGTAATTTTCAGAGGGTTTAGTATAATAGATCAAATATTGTTACACTGACATGTTTGAACTTTTGTTTTCGAAAATGCAAGAAAAACCAAGAAAAACAAAAGTTGGGGTTTTTTTTTTCGTTTACACGTTTAAACGTGTAAACGTGACATCCTAAGTTCAAGTAGTCTGGTTCCATGACTCCACTAAAGATAAAATGGATCAATTTATAGATGCCGGAAAATTGTAAGGTAAAGGAACCAGTCTAGCTGACCTGCACCCGTTCATAAACATGTAACCAATAGCAAACACAATTTTGACTGAAAAAATGTTAAATTTGGAGCAGTAGTTGAAAAATAGTTTTAAAAAATATTTTGCATAAATTTCCAACGGTGGTCGGCCGACCACCGTTGGAAATTTATGCAAAAATATTTTTTTGAAAATAACTTCACACCAGGAGCCATAATTTGACAGGATGCTTTAGACCGTTCCAACATCCTAGTAATAGTAGTATTTCGTAAAAACGTGGGAGTTTTATTTTTCGATGGCAAATATGCACGATGGCAAAATACTACTTTGTCAATCGCTTAACTCACAAGATTTATCATCATGAGACCTGAGTCTTGTTCCTCCCTTCCGAAATGGTCCGCCGCCCCCCCCCCCAAAAAAAATGGTTTAACATGCAGTTGACACTTGCTCAGTGGCGTAGCACGGTCATTTTTATTGAACCCCCCCCCCCACCCCCTGCTATCTACGCCCATGTTGCTCTTTGCACCTATCATGGTCAGGTTCCTGAACTATAGTATCACGCATGAATACGCCCACTGTGGTTTCGTTTGTAATATTCAGAGTCTAGCTACGCGCGAAAAACATTATCACGTTGAAATTTGGCGGGTTTCGTACAAAAGAGCGTTACACAGACTGGACCGTGACATTGCCGGTACGTGTTAAAGATAGAACTGTGAAATCCATGGAAATATTTACATATATACGGTACGTACACGATATATTAAACATCATGCTATTGGTTTTCTGTCCGATATAGATCCTGTGTAATTATTGACTAAGTTCATAGGCAAGTTTACATGCTTTGTCAATGAATTTCATTAAATTATCGATCTCATATCGATGACTCGGATTTTCCTTTGTGTGAATTTGGTCCACAACAATAAGTGTCTCACTAGCTGTGCTGTGATTCACTTGTGACAAAATGTATACACTCATGTTACCATAAAATGTACTGGTACATTTATTTTAGGAGTTGTTCAATTCAAGTTTCAAAGCATATACATGTGAATGCATGGAACGGGGAAAAGGGAAAAATCGGGAACGCAGGGAAAGCCACGTGTGATTAATCGAGTAGCCCTCAGAAAAATGAGTCACGCTTTATTTACATCTGGGTTTTCGAAGGGTCGTTCGCCATGCTGTTCAACATTTTCTGAGTTTTTTCTCTAAATAACTTTTCAACCCCCTCCCCACACTAAAAAAATCTGATTTTGGTTGGTTCGTTTACAAACCCTCGTAATAACTGTGATTAACCTTGTCTCATTTCATTTTACTGTTTATTAATCTTCTTAATTATATATTTGTAATGTTTTAATTGCTTGTTCTATTTTATACTATTGTATGCTTGTTGTAAATGCTGGGCACCTTTGAAAAACAGTGTTCCACTGAAAAGGTCTCCCCAGGATAAACAAGAAATAAATAAATAAATAAATAAATAAAGGTTTTTACTTTTTAGAACAAAGAGATCCGCCATGAGAGCAGACTGGTTCCTAGACCGTGCATTATGATATTGACAGTACGTTAAGCTGGGAACCAGATTAACTCACAAGAAGCGAATTATTGTTGGGCTGCAAGTAATGTCGAAATTTGTAACATAACAATTCAATGACTAAACGTGGGCATTTTTTTTTTTCGGTCGATGTCTCACTCAAACGTTAATAACGTTTTTATTCCTATAAAATGGGAATTTAGAAAAGGGCTTATTTTTTTTTGGGGGGGGGGGCGGGACGAAATCAGAAGATAGCACGGGAATGCAACTTCAATGGGAAGATATTGGGGATGAGTGGGGGTCTTCCCCATCACGTACCATGCCAAGATGTGACATAATTTCGTCCCATACGGATTACCGTATCCGCTTTGATAAAAAAAAGATTCCGTGACTTCCGTGTTGCGCGTGCGTTACGTGCTCTATTCTATTACACCACACTATACACGCTGCATGGTGTTCTGAGAAACGGGAACAATTTTTGAATAAAATATGCTCGTATTGTGGAGAAATAGATCACATACAGTGGAAATAAGAGGATCACAATGCAAATTAAGTACATTGTAACTGTATGGCTTTTTATTATCCTCGACAACCCCTCGTTTTTGGTACACACTCCAAGAGTTTTGTGTTAAGCATTTAAACACAATCTTTCTATCAGTTGTCTACTTAGAAGCTGACATATTAAGTGTCCAGCCCTTAAACATACATCATCAATTGCTGAACATTATCCATCAATACTCTGAACGTGTTTAGTATTAAAACATTTTTACAAAGTGATAGGCTTACGGATTACTGTATGCATATCAGCATTATCCATCAATAGTCTGAACATGTTTACTATATTATCCTCGACAACCCCTCGTTTTTGTTAGTCCAAAAATTGTGTTTAGCAATTAAACACAATCTTGTTAAAAGTTTTTAAAATTAGAAGCTAAAAAACTAAGTGTCCAGCTCCTAAACATACATGATCGATAGCTGAACATTAACCATCAATACTCTGAACGTATTTAGTATTAAAACATGTTTACAAAGTGATAGGCTTATAGCAAGATTGTCTATTGAAAAGTGTTTAATTGCTTGACAGTTTTTGCTGTGTGCATTTTAACACTTTGCGTTTAGAATCTATTTGTAACTTGTTTGTGGTTTTCTGTTTATGTGTGAGTTACATAATGAAATGCAACAAAAACAAACAATGATGATATTCAAAAGTCATGGTGACCAAGCCTAAAAGACTGTTTGTGACGGATGACATAAAAGGTTGCACAAAAATCAGGTCACGGTAGTTGATGATTTAAGCAGATTGGAATTACGTGGTACAGCCATGTACAGCTAAAAAAAAATATGATGTTGGCCAAGTTTATCATAGAAACGATCCATTTGGGTGTGTGTTTGTTTACGTCGTTTTGTTTTTGTTTTTATTCCCTTTTGTTTGGGTATGGGGTAGAGGGAGGGGTGTCATGGACCTTAGCCTTCCACACGGGCACATGCCTAAACACATTGACACTATGGTTCAAACCTTAATATTTACACTGTTAGTTAAAATAGTGTGCCTGATTGTAGGATTTTATCAGCGCTCCCCATTGAAAATATGGCACGAGCCCCCCCCCCCCCCTCCCCACCCACCTATTGATTTTCGGAGGCCTAAGTGTCCGGAGAAAATAACCGGTCTACATTTCAGCACGCCTCCCTGAAAAAAATATCTGGATCAACCCTGCTAGCCCCCCAACAAAAATATTGGCTCTAGAATCGCGCCTGCCCCACCTACTGGCCTTTCCTTTTTGTCTCGCCTGAACTTTGTTCAGGAAAGAGACTATGCTAATACTATGTCTGTCCTTATGTAGTTTGTATGTAGTATGTATTTATGTATGTGAGTACGTATGTGGTATTTTGGTTAAAGTTTAGTAAAATTGGCCTAATTGCCAAATTTAAAGTCCAATTGGAACCAAACTTGGGTCATAGGTGCAACATGGGAACCTTCACATGATAATGATGTCAAATGTCACATACCAAGGTCACAGGTCATCTTGGGTCAAGTTGTAAAATAGGCTGAACATGTACAATTGGTCTCATTTGGAAGTTGAAGTCCTATTGGAAACAAACTTGAATCATAGATGCAACATGGCAACCTTCAGTATAGTCACTCTTTAAAGATAATCGCGAAAGCAGGCGAGACGCATGGTTCGAGAACCATCTTGTGTGGCAATAATCATACTGGAAACACAACATATTGGGGGGGGGCGCCTAGGAGAGATGACTAAAGTGTTATATTAAGGCGTGTCCTTTTTATCTTGTCAGCATTTTTGCTCTATACTTTGCTTATGAATCGTCATGGAATTTTTGTTCGTATTTCGGGGGATCACTAATGAATGAGTTCATCCAAAGTGGGCTTGAAAAGTTTTAACACTTAGTCAGAAGTTTGCGCAAAACTATAAAAAGCGCCGAGCTTAAGAATCATAGAATCATAGATTTTTTTCCCGAACCGTTTGACTTTGACAGTGCATGTTTTTTCTTGTTCAGCTTTCCATCCAATTCATTTCAATAGCTGCGTTTTAAATCCTTTTTTTCGGTCGTGTTTTGCTGGTTTGAGTGACAGGTTTTTTTTTTAGCTCTGCATAGTGCTACATTTTTGAGTGAGTGATGTCATTGTTTTAAAGTGACAGAAATCCGCAAACAATAAGGATTTCTTTTGTTACACATCGGGGTGGTTTTTTTTTTGCTGTATTAATAACGATTACGATAGTAAAACTGTTTGACTATGTCACTACATTTTGTTTTTACGAAAACGTCGTAAACGAGATCAGTATAAATTCCTGACGGCACAGTGCTTGCAACTGTGAGTTTGTCTTACCTTAAGGAGAGTCATTATCTCAACACTAAACACAAAGCGACAACGGTCAGAAACCCCGGTAGACTTGAAATTTGAAAGGAATTTGTTACCCGCACATCATCTACATTTTTTTTTGCTGCTTACCTCAAATATCGTGTACAATGCAATTTGAATAAAACTGTCAAGTGAAGTAGGCGTAGGTCTACATGCCTTTCCTTTTATGGTATCGCAAGCCTAGGTCGTTTTTTTTTTCTTCACTGTGTGCATTAAACCGTGAAACCGGAAGCCAAACTACTTTATATTATGCGTGTCCGTAAATAAATTGCATTGTACCGTTAGCGTTTCATGACGATGAGTATAACTGCGGCAATTTTAAATCATGTTTGATCGCGCTTAACTTCGGCAAAATGTAACCATGTTACAACCGAGAACAGTCGTACAGTCGTTAACTTAAAGTTGTTAACAGCCGTTAGTACATACGGAAGCCTCGTTGTCCACTGTGCTAGAAAAAGTTTCAAAAACGCAACTTCATTTTCCTCTTCACTCCAGGATACTATGTTTTCCCGATTTCAAGTACATGCACGCAAAGAACCTCGACAGCTACGAAGCACGCAGTCTTACATCTACTACACGGACGATAAGAAGGGGGAAGGCGCTACAGGCAGTGTATTTGGGGGCAGAGAAAAGGTCGGTATTGTTTATGACATTCTGTCAACCATCAAAGAGTTATCTTTTGTGGGTTTAAGAGGGTTCTTCGGTCAATTTATTTCAGTTTCGGTCCAAAATTTTGGTCACTGATATCAATTGAGGGAATAAACGTTAGTTGGAAAATATGTGATAGCATTGCAGCGGTGGCAGCTTTTTGGATGTTATCACCCCTTTTTCAAATGTCCATGGCCTATACCTTGCACATACGCACTATAATCATTTATGCCCTGATTTGATACTGCAAACCTCCGGGCTGATGGCCTGTAGCAGGGGTAGTTGTTTCTCTGTTTGACAAGTTCTTCTGCAGTGTGAATAACTACAATTTATCATTATTGTACAATTTGTCATTATTGTACAATCGCATTATCAAGTAGGGGCCCGTGACCAGCTAAATACCTAGGCATAGAACTCACGGACAACTTCATATCCTGGAACAGACATGTAGGCACCACCTCCAAGAAGTGCATGATACCCCTTGGCTTCCTACGACGCAACTTGAGCAACGGCCCTTGTGAAATAAAGACCCGCTGCTATACCCGTGTGCGGCCTATTGCTGAGTATGCCAGCTGTGATGATGGGACCCACAAAAAAACTTGAGAACATTACCAAAATCGAATCTGTCCAGCATAGTGCTGCCCGGTACGTCATGAACAACTACCCCAGCGACAGCAATGACAATACCACGCTAAGTAAACTTGGTTGGGACTCTACAACACCGAAGAGCTATCTCCAAAGTTAACAATGATTTACCGGATCACCAACAAACTCACTGACATCACTAACAACCACTTTATCCCGGTCAACTCATGTACCAGCAGTGGCGTATCCAGAGCCCCCGGCCGCTTTTTGTACTCATTTTTTTTGTTCAGCAATTATTTTAATAAATGATTAGAGAGTTCTGACATCGATCCCCAAAAAGATAACCCGCTTAAAATCAGTACAATTCGCCGTGCAAATGGGTATATAATTTGCAGTATGCATAATAATGGCCAGTTTTGAAGAGCGCCCGCATTTAGAAGGCGGGGATCAGCCCGCCCCCTCCCCCTTTTTTTTTTTGATTTTACACCGGCCAAGTGTCTGGAGAGAAAAAAAAAAGTGTCTACATTTCGGCGCGGATGATAGCGTAAAGTCGTCAGAAGTTACGCGACAAAGACCCTCACATTTCAACCAGTGTACTACAACTCCAGGAGGGGAAGTAAATCTTGGTTTCTTGGTTTTCTTGTTTTCTCTAGAAATCTGGCGAGAGGGTAGCTGTGAAGGTTTTCAACAATGTGAGTTATCGGAGACCCGGCAGCGTGCAGCACAGGGAGTTCGATGTTCTGCTTAAGCTCAAACATACCAATATTGTGAAACTGCTGGCCATCGAGGAGGATGTAAGTTCAAGTACCACACTGTTTAGTCAAGTCCTTACAGGTTCTCATGAATGAGTCAATTACAAGCCACAATCAAAAGCGGTACGCTATATATAAACTGTGACTATATTATGTATACACCCTCAGTTTCACGTGACCCTAACACTAACTCGTGATTTGACATGTGATTTGCTTGTGATTTGACTTATGATATGACGTAGGTAGGCCTTGATATGCACGAAGTGCGTACACACTCGCCACGAAGTGCACGGAATCCACAAGAGACATAAAATAATTCCACTCCAAAAAAAATTCAGTTACAGGCCGTGAATGACGCCCTTATTTTTATAACCCCCAAAAGTGTATTTGAATTATGAATTGATTGATTCATAGGACCCATTTGTATTATGTCAGTTCATACCAGCACTTTGAGGCCTGTAGTATCAGCATAAGTGTTTTCGATATGTTTCAGCGACATGATTGTATGAAAATAATATAAAAACCCGCCTATCATGTTGAGATATCAATCCGGTTTGTAAACTTATGTTTTTTTATGTCTTTATTTTATCCAAATATCTTACATTCTACATCCGTCTTTTTTGTGATTTTAATTTTGCAGTCTAGTTCCCATGACCGGGTCATCATCATGGAGCTGTGTGAGGGCGGTAGCCTCTTCAATGTCTTGGACAGACCCGAGAACTCCTTCGGCTTGGCCGAGACGGAGTTCAAGATCCTTCTCCGGGACGTCAGTAAGTAGACCTCATCAGTTGCAGGGAAGGTCGTATATTCTGTAAAAGACCTTTGCTGTCTTCCGAGCGGTTTATCATTTACAAGTAGTTGTAGTCATATCCCCTGGGAATCAGCACCGGTCTGTCATTGGGTAGCGTGGCAACAGTGCTGATTCCAATCTCCCTTCTTAATGGTGCAGATTATCCCTGACACTTATACAAGGGAGAGAGAGTATGAGAGAGACACACGCACAACCCCCCTGTAATGTTTCAATTCCAAGCCATTTCTCCTTCTATTGAATTCAACTCATACTTTAACTATCTCACTTTTACAATCAGTTGTCCTTAACCCAACCCACTTAATTGTGATTGGATTGTTCGACCCTCCCTTTATCCCTGATTGGCTGGAAGTTTCATGGAGCGTGGCCGCCTCCTATTTTGTGTAAAAGCCCCAAAATGATAGAGTTTAAACAGTGACATCATTTTGGCCTCTTTGTCTGTTGCAACTAGCCCATATATAGATGCACGGCATGTCATTTCCTGAGTCAAGGTGGTGGCCAAAAAAAAAATAAAAAAAATTGGCGGCCATCTTGAAAAAAAAAAGCCCGTTTGGGCGCCATTATTTTGGAGGGAAAAAGGGGGGCCTCCTCCTTTTTTTTCAAAAAGGCAGGTCGCTAAACATGTTTTTTTCCTACTGGCCTAATTTCGAAACAACTGAAACGTCATGCTTATCATGGGTAAATATCAGATGTTTAGTTGTGATGGAGAGCAAACAGGAATTGTTGAGCTCAAACACTGTTTGAAACATCCCAATCAAAATAGAAATGACCTGTCAGTTAGTTGTTTGTTTGTTTTTGTTGGTGGGGGATTGTGATCATCATCACGAGATTTTGGATCATCGAACATCAGACCATGGAGATCTATGACTGAACAATGCTGGCTGTCGGATGATCTTTTTAAAATAGATTTTTACCCTTTTTAAAACTGACTGTCACATGAGAGGTCGGGCTATACAGGGTATTTTGGAGGGAATTTTACTTTCTTGTCTTTTGTCAACGACTCAATGATGACAATGCCCGTTGTGCATTGACCTGAAAAGAGGAAGTTTTGCTGAGTCAGCCGAAATGGCGTGATATGGGCTTAGCTTTCAAGCGGAAAATCCCCCTATCAGAAACCTTCAGTGTCAACGGTTATCAATTTAATTCATCCAATACAGTAACTAAGGATTTTCTTCTAACACGATTTGTGAAAAAAATTCAGTTGTGCTGTTACTATAGTGTAAGCGTTGAAAAGTTGAACAAAGAAACGACCTCCTGAACCGGTGCTCTGTACCGACTGAGCTATTGTTGACGGTTCCCGAGCTTTGACTAGGGTGCTAGTCAAAAGCCAATACCCGTAAAGCCCAAAGCCAGCAGCATAGTAATGTGCAAATCTGGGGAAAAAGCAAACGGGGACCACTCAGAGATGATACGGGTTTCAAACCCCACTCCATTCAATCAAATAATAGTTTGACCCCAGCAAGACGACCCCAGCTAGACGTCTGTACTAGTAAACGGGAGGTCGTGGGATCGAGTCCCAATGTTTGTCTCACAATCACTTGGGACAACACTGAGTGAGCATTGTCACGGTTTTTGCCTGCGAAATCGCAGTTGAACATAATCATTTCAAATCAGGCGCATTTTGCAGCGAATGTATTTTGAAATCAATTCGCATAAGTATTAAAGGGTCTGTGAAATGAAGTTTTCTGAGGAACATATTTTTTTTGCAACTCTCTACTCCTCTTAAAATGTACAAAAACTATTTGACATCCTTTTTTTAGTTAATTCTATTGGAAAGTGCACTTCTTTAAACATTTAAAATTATTCATGCTTTCCGTTCAACTGAAGGACGCTGTTGTTGTGATGTCATTTCAGGAAGACACTGTTCTGTTAAGGGGTTTCTGTTCAAATTGTGAACCTAACAAAATGCTTATTAAAAACATTTGTGAGAAATGATTGCACATTGGCCTGACAAAACAACGAATCGCCAAAGAAAAGAGAATATAGGACATATAAAATATCCACCATTCTGGCAACGTTTTGTGCTGAAATAACTAACATTTATTTTCTGTCTGAAATGACATCACACTTAAGCCCATGAATATGTATATTTGCATAAGCATGAAAACCAAAAATGGACAAAAACAACCTTGAAAATGGCAAAACGAAAAGTGAAAATAAGATTAAATGGGATACAAAGGTACATTTTCAAGGATTGCATGAACAAAAGTAGCATTGCATGAGACCTTTAACCGGCCATTATTATTGAGTGATTTGAGAAATTTGAAAGCTGAAGACATATTTCGTGGATTTCGGTTTGCTTGAAAACCACCAGCACTGCCATTTGTACATTTTGTAGTCTTCTAAGTGATAATTTCTTACATTAATTTCATCCAAATTAAATTGATGAGTTTTGTTTTCCTTTGCTCATTAATTATATTACTTATATTATAATATATTATTGTCAGCATGAATAATAAACCACAAACCATTTTGGAAAAAAAACCAATTACATTTTAACATAGGTCATGGCATGAAACATCTTCAAGACAAAGGAATAGTGCACCGTGACCTCAAGCCGGGGAACATCATGTGCTGTTACGAACCCGACGGCTGTTCCGTGTACAAATTGGCTGACTTTGGAGCGGCTCGTGAACTCGCAGAGGGCGAGAACTTTGTCAGCATTTATGGGACTGAAGAATACTTGGTGAGTATTAAAAAAAAAATCCATTTTGAGTTAGGTAATCATCCGTGTCTTCCCTCTACTGATTACTAAATATGTTATCCCGGTTTCCTTGAAAGTCTAATAAATACCGTTTAAATAATAACGCATACACATACTTCCTTTATTGTTACCTTGTTAATTGCTTCCTTTATTGTCTCCTCGTAAATCTTTGTTATACTTTGGTCCGAGATTACTTTGTTTGATGATATTTTTTTAACCGAAGTTGAGAATTCATAGACACATACAGACACAATATGGAAGTCATTAGGCAGAGCTTTCCGGGATCATGCAGCAATCGTGATAAAAAAAATAGGTGCACATCTCAGTTTTAAATCCGGTTTCCTCAAATCGTTAGCCCATATAGGGAATTGCAATGGTGACCACCAATCGCCGTCAAGGCCTAGTTCGAAGAAAACTCAATTCTTGGCTGCTTTCGCCAAGTTCAAAACCATGTGTTCCGTGAACATTCTGTGCACACGTGCACATGTTGGCCCCAAGGTCATCGGTTGAACAAAATTCTATCCAATGAGAGCTCAGATCAATTTAGCCGGATCCAGTGCATTTGGTGGAATAAAGCGGTCGGTACCAGTCAACAGATCCGCCATATCCCGGTGTCATATGAAATTTAGACTTCTATGAAGTCTGTCCTCTTTCACCTTTTAGCCCTCACATTATGGCTGCCACAGTCCTTATTATCCTTACATAATAGGCATGCAACCAATGAGTGCGTATTTCACATAATCCAAATTTCATAGTACACCGGCTCCAGGATCTCAGGATCCGTGTCGTTAGGATATCCTATATGGCAATGAAGTGGTGGTTGCAAGAGGAAATCCGGTAGCGTACGACGCCAACGTCGTCCCCATAACATACTTTATGTTCAACCCTTGTATCCAGTACTGTAGTAAGCCTTTAGTCAAGGCGTGCGTGTCTATGACCCGGACGCGTGGCGCCCCAGATTCTGGCACGAAAAAAGACCAGTCGAGTGGCGAAGACACGAGGGGCTAGTCTTTTTACGTGCCAGCATCCGGGGTGCGTCACGTGTCCGAATAAGCGCGTGGGACTTGACTAAAGGCTAGATTGGATACCGCAATTAGCACGTAATGGATTTGTATCGTGTATTTGGTGTTGTTATTTCCAACGTGTATTACGTGTTTTCACGTTAATTTTAATGATCACGTCCACACCTCAAAACTAATCAGTTCCTTTTCTATTTGCTCTTATTAATATGGATGTGATCTGCATATTGGTTGGATAGGATTGCCGACATTTAAACTTTGAAACAAAAAATCGTGTTTTCCTAACTCAAGCCACGACGAATTGATTCTGTCTTTACCCCAGATACATACGGGGAAAAAACCCGCTGAGGTACAGCACAGGCAGGCACCAGGTTATTTCTCGTTGCATAGGTATACACAAATATCGATATGTAAATGATCCAATACCAGGGTGAGAGAGCAGTTAAGAGGTGCTCGACATCATGTGAGGTTGTTGCGATGCCCAATAATCAACCCATTCCCTTTTTTTTTCTTGCAGCACCCAGATGTGTACGAGCGCGCCGTTCTTCGGAAACCTCTTGTAAGGCCGTTCACGGCTTCCGTAGACCTTTGGAGCATAGGTGTAACGCTTTATCACGCCGCTACGGGGGTGCTCCCCTTCAGACCATACGGGGGCAGAAAGAACCGGTCCACAATGTAAGTCATTTGCCAAAACAAAAAAGCCAAACAAATATAAATTTGCAAGTGACTGAAAAAAAAAGAATCATATAGTTCCTGGAATTTCTGTTATTTTTACAATACATTGAATGGCATAATTTGAGAAACGAAGGATATCAATTAAAGAACTCATGTAACGGAATTGTGTTCATTATTATGGAATTTTGATTTGCACCGTGTGTTTTAATTAATGAATGCTTGCGTTTTGCTCTTAACCGATGTATTTTATGTCACTGTAGTCCACTAAGCCGAAGGCTCGCGAGAAAACACTCACATGCTTAGTTACTCGGCTGGGACTCGAACCCACGACTTCAGGCTTTGTAGTAAAGATGTGATTGTTTCGATTTAGGACACAACTCAACATTAAATGTACAACATTTTTCGTAGGCACCAGATGACGACCCTGAAAGCGTCAGGAATTATTTCGGGAGTTCAAAGAAACTCGGAAAATGCACCGATCGACTGGAGTAGAGAGTTACCCAAGACGACTCAACTCTCACAGTGAGTATATTCCTATTTCAGTTACATGTGGTTATTGTGATAGTTTTTGCAGGTCACCAAGTCAGGGTCAGAGTGTAGTCCTGCCTTTGTATTTGACTGATTTACTGACTGACTGACTCCCCGATAGTAACTGACTGACTGACTGACTGACTTTCACTTGTGATTTTGACTTGCTTCAGCCTCATTTTCGTGTGCTTCGCCTATCCCACACTGACTGAAATCATGACTATCAATACCACCTGCGAATTAGACATGATAAGTCTCACATTTGCCCCCCCCCCAAAAAAAAAAATGACATACCAGACCCCGTCAGACCAAATTGGTCGGGGACCAGTTTCTCTGCACTCGTTTTGAGTACTTGAAGAGCTGGGTAAGTTTTTACTACTTCCAAGACTCTGTTGTTTGTCCTATAGACGACGTTTTCTCGTTGCTTACCTTGTTTTGTCGTTGTTGTTGTTTTTTATTCAGAGGTCTGCGCTTTCATTTGGAAGAAATGCTGGCTGGTCTCCTCGAAAGTGACGTGACCAGAATATGGTCCTTCAGGACATTTTTTGACACCGGTCAGGCCATCGTTAATATGACTGTCCTGGATGTGTTCTACACCGTGACGTCACAGCCTCTCAAAATATACATTGATCCAAGACATTCGTAAGAACAATATGTCTTTAATAAAGTAAACTGAGAGCAAGACATTGATTGGTTACAACTCGTGCAGCAGAAACGTTTCGGTATACGTGATCTAGGTTAATAGCACAATAGCACAATACAGCACACATTTACAATTTGCTGGACTTGTTGTTCACGGTGGCCTTCAGCCCTGCATAACTTTCGTAGTTGTTTAGAGCCACCACACGTTTTCTGACCAAACTGTGTAACGTTTTTCGATCTTCCATCACGAAATGTTAAGATTGCCCACCTGATTCGACCCAGGCTGGAACTTACAAATGATGTTGTGAGCAACCGGAGTTTGTGGCACTGCTTTGGCGGATTCGGCAGATATACCGCCACGATTCGACTTAATAGGCTTTTCAATGAAACTTGACCTGGTTATAAGAAAGGTGAACGCTTGAACTCTGAGGATATGTAGGCCTACATTAACTCATTCGCATATCCGATTCGTTTCCTCTGCCACGTCAGCAAGTACAAATTATGAAATATATATATGTATATTTTTAAAGAACTTTAACATTAACATTGAAATATGTTTGCATCTTATAACACACTACCGAGGATATTCATTATTAGAAATATTGCAGCAATAGTTTTAATGTATTTGTGACACCCAATACTTCTGGAAGAAAAACCTACATAAATTTCCTCTTTAGATATTGGAAGTATAATTTAAGTTTACAGCTTCAACGATATAGAGTAGCCATTTGTTTATAAGGTTATTTGCAAGGAGCCTAATGTTCTGAACATTAAATCAATCCGTACCATTGTTTCTCTAAAAACATGACATCCAAAATAGTGATTTTCCGCTCAATGTTTCTGCAGGTTTGCTGAGTTTCAGGAGAGCGTTGCCATACAGACGTCATTGCAATCTGTCCATCAGATGTACGTCTTCGGAGATGCCGTATTTTACCCAGAATCCAACGTGCCGTGCCGAGACTTCCCTGAGACGACGCCGGCCAATCCCATATTTCTCTTCAAATCGACGTTTGGTGGCTCTGTCTCGCCAGTCGCCCCTGTCATCCGTAAGGCCATCAATATCTGGGTTTTTTTTAATCAAGATACTTGACTCATAAGTAGTTCAGTGCTCGAAGATCTCTCGTACAACTTGTGTCAATAGGTCAATATTGAAACGAATATCAGATATAAAGGAATCGATATTGTCAAATGCGAAGCTATTTTTGGATTAATAGTTTGAAATCTGTTACATTGTTTACCAAAAATGTGCACCCGCTCATTGTTGGAATGTTTAGGGCATCATTATTCGAGGCATTTTATGACGCATTGATTTGCCAGACTGTTTTTGAGTAACTAAAACGTGATCGCCCTAGACAAGTATAGTTCTCTAGTAACGACAACTGCCATTTTTTAAAAATTCTCTCATGTACTTTTATACCAGGAAGGCTTTTTAAATTGATATTCCAGCCCAACTTGTTACTTCCGTTAAAGTTACAACTTTCCTTTGATTGTTGGAACGACGACAGACATGGTCAACCATCAAGGTAGGATGCTCCGTTAGCTCTAAATAAAACCTAAACCGTGATTTTTTGTGGTTTTTTCGTTATACAGCAACCGTACCGGATGTTCCATCTAGGTATTCATTGAGCACAGATGCACCTGCGACAAAGGTGAGTTTCAAAAATGAATGTCGTGATCACTATGATAAACTGTTTACAGGATGCTAACAGGGTGCCGTTGGATAGTTCTTAATTTCAGGATTTCTTCACATTTTTTCAGTTTATTTAGATCGGTAGAGCATCGAAACTTGTTATCGCGTCAGTATCGTGTGCTTGCAAAACAGTTATTCTATATCTTTTCTATTTTAACACTTCTGGTACCAAGCCAAGGATTTCCCAAATAGTGCCCTTGGCACGTAAACTCGGAAGCCTAAAGAAAGCTGTAGAGAGAAGACAATGAGAGGAAATTACAGTTTTAGAGGTGGAAGGAAAAGCCCAGAAGAATAATATTTGGGCTAAACCCACGGAATTTAGATATATTATTATATATGTTATATATATTTATTGGTTTCTTTCAGAAAAGCATCGCTGCCGTGTTTTGTCTCAAACGAAAACAAGAACTGCTACTTCTGATACAGAAATTAATGAACGCAGCCGTGAAGGCCTTCACGTGAGTTTCTTTGGTATCTTTTAAACTTAAAGCTCCTTTCATCATAACTTGTTTAGCAACATTTTTACCACGTTTCACACATTGTTTTTACCAGAATCATTGTTGCAAAATAGTCGTTAAGTTTTGATTGAGCGTTTTTCATCTGGTAACATTAGCACTACTTCAACACATTTGATACTTCGCTTACGATCTTGTGGAGAAGCGGAAGGTTTTTTTTTTGGAAAAATGTACAATTTATCTATTGCCGTCATAACCATTTCTTTTCACCATCCCCTAACAGCCTGGTAATAAAAGAAGAAGTGAAGCACCTGGAATACTACTTGAATAAACTGGAAAGCCAAAACAAGACGTTGCCGTCGGAACTACAGAGCATGCGCTCAAGAATCGATGCGACTCAGACGCTTGTGGGCGCTTTCCGAGATATTGCCAACGGGAAAAAGATCGAGCTTGGCAGAAAGCAAGCCGCCCTTGAAATCTCCGGCAACGAGGTTGCATTGGAAATGGGGAATATACGGCAGGTAATGTTCTGCATTCGAAGCATATAATACACTCTTAAAAGTGTTGTTCCTTGTCTATCCTTGTTTGTATTGTTTATTGTTATACCTCATTTTTTGGGAGCATTTGACTGAAAAATGTGTCCTATTGACATATACATTTTGACAAAGAAAGATCTCATTTTTTAAACAAAAAATCTTCATTTTGATCCAGACGTTTTCCACGTTTGAACTGATGCAGAGTTGTGTCGAGTTGGCCAGTTTGGCTATTTATGTACATGTGCCGAACGAGTTTTACCAAATATACTAATTTCTCAGTATATGGATAATTGAAAGTGGGAGGTCCGCAATCGGTTGCCGCACTGTTTGATTTGTTAGCATAAAAGGCAAAACAATTTTCAAAGTGCTGTTTCTGAAGGTGGAAAGTGTGGTTCACGAAGAGCGAGGTTCGTTTACGAGGTTTTCAAATGTGTTTTGTGTTTTTACGATATGCCAAGAGAATCATGAAAGACGGATTATTTAAGACAAACATGTTGACGGAGAAGTGAAGAATATGACTGTTAATTAATTTTACAAAAGAAGTTTTTTTGAAAAGGCATAACTTTAGTCGTAGACTATAATGTCAAGCCCCCGTTACCTTGCATGGGACTTGACTTTTTGTTTATCTGTTCAGCTCTCGTTACGATTAGAACAAACGGCTGCGACATTGAGGTCGCTCCACCATCAAATAGTGCATCAAGATGTTCTGACGAAGGAATGGAATAAACTGCTTCGTTGTCATCCAAGGGACAAATGGTAAGAAGAAGCACCATTTCAAAAACTAAAAGTGAGTTCGAAGGCAGTACGTCAGTCACAACTTTATTCATTGTCATTATACGGGGAATGGTAACTTAGGATGACATTCCCATAGGGTTGTGCACACAATTTTCCCAACCTTAATGACCCCTAACCCCAATTTCCCATGAGCATCGATCTAGCCTATTTGCGACGTTAGTTGTGCCATTAGGGAGACATTGAAATGTCTCCTTAATGTCCGGTGTCTCCCTAAGGTATAACTTATGACGACAAAAATCTCCTTAGCCTATAAGGAAGGGTTCATTGACAGGAATCACTGTACCTGTATATAGTCATAATATTGTATGATGTGGTTTGGTTGTTATGCACACTAATCCATATTTTGGACAATTTTCCAACGAAACAAACACACAAAGATGTATGTACGCCGTTTTGTATCTAAGAAATTGTTCAGAAAATGTTGTGTTAAAACTGGTTTGTTGTAATTATCTTCTCCGTAATACAGCGTGGACCGTTTTGAAGTCATGTTGTTCTTGCTTCTGGAAATCTATTCAAATTTCTGCCGGGACAGCAAGGAGACCTCCCTCACGTTCAATGCGGAGCAAATACACAAGATGGAGAAGTAAGCTTGGCAATGTCACAGATCGACTAGTGTCTTCACAACTCGATCACAAACATAGCTATAATATTTACGGGACACTGCACCTTAGTGACACATTTCCATATACACTTGTGCACAAAGGTCATAACTGTGTTGACCCCTAACCATAATCTAACCTTATCCTTTCCTCCTGCACCACAAAGAATCAATTTAGGCTATAAGTGACGGGAAATTGGAATTTAAGCATGAAGTGGACGTTCAAACTTTTTAGGTGTTACTCTTGAAGATAACGTGACCCCTAAGGGTATACCTTTGCATAAATCATGTTATTTATATTTGTTTTGGACTTTGGGACATATCTTGATAACCTGCAGTGACACTGCGGCAGTCCTTTGAATGCAAAAAATCGAACGTTAAAATTAAGGAAATTAATTAATTGATATAGTAAAAAAAAAAAGAGTAAAACTTCCCTCTTTATAAAGTAACAGACTACAGAAAGCACGCTTGGCGTAAATTTGCACCACATTTTGCGTTGAGATGACTTGGAACTTTAGTTCGTGTGTTATGATTTAAAAAAAATTAAAAAGAGTAGGGCTTGTGGATTTCATTTTTCGTTTTATCCTCAATACCGCTTCTTTTTTGATAGTAAGAAAACAAAGACTAACCTAAAGAGTTCGAATCGGTAAATGAGACAAATGTTTCCGTCAGGTACTTTAAATTTATTATTTCTGATCTGTTACAGAATCAGGTTTAACGACACGTTACACAAGATGCTTTCTCTGGTTCATGAACACTGTGAAACTAATTGGCTGGAGACACATTCCGAGATGATGAAGTGGTTCGGGTGAGTGATGCCTCGTTGAAATTATATTATGACACTTGCACTATTTGAGATAACCATTTGACACTATTGGACACAATTATGCTCCGTGCCATATCGTCTAATGCAATATTACCGTTATATCAAAATACAGCACAGCCTATTCCTTCAGGCAGCGAATCGCCGAAGTGGATCAAAGCCTGACCCCACTGGTGTCTGACTTTTCTACTGAAGAACTAGCTATAACTAAGGTAACGTAGGTTTTTATTTCATTACAAGGTGCAGTCAAACTCGACTGAACATCACAGATATCATTTTAAGGTGTCATTATTTTCGTCTTGCATTCTCCTCCCTTGCAATTCAGGAAATGCCTTGAATTTGAATGACCGAAGCGCTAAATGAATGACAAAACAAGATTTAGTTGGGTTTTTTTTAATTCAACGCCAAAAATCTCCATATGAGATGAATTTTCACAAACTATATTAGGAAGAATTACAATGTTACATTCGTGAATTTAAATGCACCCCATTTGAACTCTATTAGTGTAAATTTGAAATTGAAATTGACAACGGAGCCCAACGACGTCTTGGAACGAAATTGAAGCATCTTTCCATGCGATTTGAATGATATACAAGTATTAAAGTAACCAAAAATCCTATAGTACACCAACATACTGTTCAACAAATTTTGCGGTTATAATACTTGTAACTAGTATTTTACTTCTGTGCCGAAGAACAGAAACTAGATCTAGATAGTTGTACATATATACTGAAAAGGACAACGGTAAAGAATTTCAAACGACAGGATATTAATATGTGTTAGTATTTTTTTGTTGCAGTTGGGAGAAAGATGTCAAGAGGAACTAAACAGTATTGAAAGTGATATTTCTCATCCACAAGCTGCAAACAGTTTTCATTACAAGGCCCCGTTCACGGTGAGTGGCGCCTCCAGCTCCTAACTTATTCACGTGGAATTTAAAGCATGTGATTCTAAAATTTGTAGAAAAACAATTTGATATCGCTCAGATAAGTACTTCGCATTGATAATAAAAGACGTTGGTAACAAAATTTACATTTGTGACATTATACGTACGCCCCGAGTTCATGTTACGAAATTGACTTAGCAGTATAGTTTCCGCGAATTTCCCAACAAACGTTATTTGCGACGTAGAATTTGCTTCGAGTTCGCGTTCGTGTATAGTGGGCAACCGTCTTGTTGAAGAATACCACATTTTTAAATGTGAATTCCTATACCTGGCGAATTTGACGTCACGAGACGTTCAGAGCAAAATTCGCCGGGTCTCAGAAATGAGTTCAACTTTTGCAAAGTCGTATGGTGCCGTCACAAAAATTCCCTCATTCGAGAATGAACCGGCCTTCCTTTGGTGTGACTTTAGTAGTGAAAGTATCGACAAGACAAGAATCCATGACACGAATCAGGGAAGGTTTACCAGGCTAATACTTACATTACTTTGTGTTATATAGCTTTTGATATACCTTTCCGACCCTTTTTTGTCTGTCAGAATGAAACTCTTCGCCTGGTGTCCACTTCAGCGAGTACGCAAACCTCTGTCGTCCAGCTGGGGGAACCAAAGCAATTCCGAGAGGCAAACAACCAGACACCGTGGAGTGTTTACGTCGTCATCGGACCACGCGAGGGAGGTAGTCTGGCTTGTGGGGAAAATCATGTCCATCATCTAGCAGACTCTGGATTTGCAGACCTGCGGGTGCCGATGTCCCGAGACTTGAAACGAGAGTAAGTCACGAGAAACCGTTTCATTGTGGCCGTTCTCAACAGCGGTCTGTGTTGGTGCCTGTTTTGGTAAAAGTTTGATTACAGGCAGTTTTCCGAACATGGTTATATTTTCTACAACTAAGAAAAGACACCGACCATAATTAATGAATACAGAGTTATTTTGGGAAACAAAAACAAGCAGGGGACACCAAAAAAAGATAGAATTAACACTTTTGATCTGGCTGTGCTCCGTGGTCAGACATGGGTTGCATGGCGGCTGCCTAAGGCGCCTTTACATGCCTTAACTTTAAAAATAACAGTCAGTCAATTAACCTTATTGACTGGTTTTCCTAGTTATTGAAATTGACTAGGAATTTAGTGAAACATAAGCATGCAAAGTTTCATACTATGACTAGCAAAAGTAGTTGGATTTGACTCAAATCCTAGTTATCTGCATAACTATTAAATACTGACCAAAAATTTCTAGTCAGATTGACTGATTTTCAATTGCACCCAGCTGACCCTGAGTGGCTAGTCAAATTTAACTGGTTTCTAGTAAAATCTGACAAATGTATTTTTAGAATGAGATTTCTGCCCGACCACGTTGTAGCTGCGTACTTCGCAGTTTAGCATCTCAGCGGCGAGTAAGGATGATTAGCCCTCGAAAATATCATTATTGTTATCAATAACTGCTGAATATGCAAGATTTCAATGCAAGTGAAAACACGGCATCTTCTAGACAATCGCCTGGTGGCTCAGTGATTGTGACACGCTAAGGGCCGTAAACAGAAGAGAGTTGCCACAACTATCAATTTGGACACCATTTTTATGTCCAACTCTACGGGACTGTTGTGAACAGGTCGCTAGTTTCTCTAATAATTCTGTCACTAATGCTTACAAAACCATTACAATTCCCTCGAAGTCTCATGAAAGAATAATTGTTCCCCAATCTTGGAACAGAAATGGCGTCCAAAATAAGTACCCCTCGTATGGCGATACGGCTCTGATCAGGAATTGTTAAAGCTAACGAATATTGCATCACTAGAGTATGATTTCGCTGATGTCTTCCTGTCTAATTGTTTATTTCTGAATGTGCAGGTTGCAGGACTGGCAAATTCGGAGACCGGAAACCCAAGCCATGGTGAAGAAGAGTCAAGACCTGACCGAGGAAATGCAGAATATATCGATAGACCTCTCCGATCCTAGCCTCGACTTGTACGGATGCTGAACATGAAGACCACAAGTTGGAGAGGACGCCCTGCATGCCGACCTGCCGCTCCGCCTGACGGCGAGATGCAGAAAGGACCCACCGCGCAGGCCGAGAGGATTATGGCTTCGTCTCCTTCCACGTCCTTTCAATCCATCGGAATACATCCTATTCAATAACATCTATTTTTCATCCATGGAAAAATATACCTTAACCATGGGACAGTGGCGTACCAAACATTTTGTTTCGTAGGGGAGGGTTCACCACATACTAACAAGTCCCAAATCCAATTAAACACAGACTCTGGGTCGTATTTTACCTGATACTATTCAAGGTCAAACGAATATATTTCTTGGTCAAAATGACACTTTTGCCATCAGCTTTAGCGTAACCTGATGATCCAGCAATTGATCCAGAAGCGTGTCACATGGCATTCTTGCCATCAGCTTTAGCTGAACCTGATGACCCCGCAATTGATCCAGAAGCGTGTCAAACGACATTCTTGCCATCAGCTTTAGCTGAACCTGATGGCCCCGAAATTGATCCAGAAGCGTGTCAAATGACACTTTGCCATCAGATTTAGCTGAACCTGATGGCCCAGCAATTGATCCAGAAGAGTGTCAAATGACACTTTTGCCATCAGCTTTAGCCTAACCTGATGGCCCAGCAATTGATCCAGAAGAGTGTCAAATGACACTTTTGCCATCAGCTTTAGCTGAACCTGATGGCCCAGCAATTGATCAAGAAGAGTGTCAAATGACACTTTTGCCATCAGCTTTAGCTAAACCTGATGGCCCAGTAATTGATCCAGAAGAGTTTCAAATGACACTTTTGCCATCAGCTTTAGCTGAACCTGATGACCCAGCAATTGATTCAGAGGGGTGTCATTTTGACTGGAAAAAACATTACCAATTCAAATAGAAACCAGATTCCCGGTCAAATCTGACTTGGGATAGTTTTTGGAGTTCAGTCATTTCCGACCTATCATTGCAAGTATTCGAGCAGTGGGGCTAAGGGGGGATTGGACCTCAACAAAGCCGTCGGGTTTTAGCCCTTCACCCGCAGTTTCTACAGTAAAATAAATTACACTCAATTCAAATCGACCCTTTGGGTTGAGAGCGGGGTTCAAACGTCATGGGGCCAACGCAACTGCCCTGAGAAACTAGGTTGGGAATTAAAAACCATATATACACAACCATAGCGATAACAATGAAACTTTGGAAGTGTAAGAACTTAAAGAAAAAAACCGAAAGTGCCAAACAAAAATGTAGAATAAACAATCATTAACCGAGGATTGATGACACAGTAGTTATTTATTCCAAATGAGAGCTACCATGGAAATAACTATTTGGAAGGAGCAAGTATAGCCAAGAAGGAGAAACAGAAAGATACTCGTGCTAAATACTAGGACCAAAAAGGCCGTTAAAGCTTTCTTTAATAAATCAGCATCGATTGTTTAGGCCAAAAAAAAAAAGTCTCCGGTTTCTGGTATGGAGCTTGTCCAAAAAGTGGTGCGGCGACGCGGCTTTTTTTTTTTTTTTTACCCGACTTTTTTGCTTCAAATGTCGGCTGATGACTGCAAATGGTGCCTGACTAAACTTAGTGAAAATATATGGGAGTCCAGAGAGGCCACATAAAGCTTATTCTCGATCATAACCCCATCTAAAAACACGTTGAAATTGCGCAGCAGCAGAATTCCAGTCAAACCAGTGAGTTTGGCGGTGTTGATACATCATCTTTCATTGAAAAAAAACCTTTTTCATTTTGCCGACGCGCATGGCTACGGCGACGCGCGCGCATACCAGAAACCGGAGACTTTTTTTTTTTGGCCTTATATGTGCTGGTGAATAAAGATTATTGCTTGATCTAATGTAAAAGTGGTGTCATGGACTAGCGTGAACCAATAATAAAGAGGCGGGGAAGGGTGGGGGTAGTATATATTACTTGATGTTACCTGGTTAAATGTCATTGTGTCAATGAATAGAAACGGCTCAAATGAAAATTGAAGACTATATCTAAACTATGAATGTTGAAACAAAATGGTAACAAGCAGAATTTTACGATGATTGATTAGTTGTGTGGAGCTAGGACATGTTAACAAAACAGAAGTATTGTAGCACGTTGTTGTATTAAAAATGCACTTCTGAAGGCTATAATACGCAGAATTGCATGGGTATTATAAGCATCTAGTCCAAAGATAATAATATACTGTATTGAACATCAGAATACTGTATAGGGGCCAATACTTTGATTTAACTCGAAAGTATATAGATATAATTTAAATATATATCTAAATATATATTTTATTATTGTATACTGTTGATATTTTCACCATTTGTAAATTCTTTTCTGTCCAGAGCATGTGATAATAATGATGCTTTTTTCACGTATTACATATTTTGTAAATTTCCTTCTTAAATTTGTATTTTGTTTCATTATCCGTCGGAAGTAGCAAGGGGTAAACTGGAGTTGCAGTAACAAAATGAGGGAGGCTTCGCCGTGTTAATTCTGCAGGACTCCACGATGCTGGGTGGTTCTCGGACTTAAATCCCCTCTAAACAGAATCCTCCAGAGCCATGAATCAGAAAGAAGAATTAACCTAATTCGATATAACCTGCTTGTCATTTAGCCTACATTCAAGACGCCATAATGTATTTTGCCCAGACTGTTGTGTAAAATAAAACCGCTGTCCTCGGGCACCTTATTTTCAAACCACGTTTGATGTTGGTTGTCTTCCAAATTATACCATTCCATGCACAGTAATTTCACAAAGTATTTGATTTGAGTGTTGTATTCACTTTGAACAAGGCTTGTGCCATTGAATCGGTTGGCACGTTTCCGGGTAATTGCAAATATGTAATGTCTTTTTATATTTCAGACTAATGTTTACATTTTAATCTGTATTAGATAAATATTTTTAACAACTGTTTTGTATGGTAATGCGCATTATAATATTTGTATGGTATCTATGTAAAAAATATAAATTTAATTATAGGTTTCCCGGCCAATTTCCTAATTTTTCTAATCAGTTTCATTATCAGCCATTCAATTTCGCGTGAGTTTTGCACATGTGATCAAATTGGGGTTTCTTTTTTACTTTGGGGACATTGAATTTCATTTTTAGGCAGCCAAGACTTTGCTCTGAATGTTCGTCGTCGTTTTCGGGCATCCTATTTTGTTTTGGTGCATTCAAGACTTAATTTGTAGCAGTCTTAAATTAAGTCTTTGCAACCTTTTGACGGTTGACGCATTTAAATTGGTGAACGTCTGTGGGCTTATTACGTATTACCATGCTTTTCGTTTCCCTTTCATTTTTGGGCAATCACTTTCATCGTTTAAATTATAAAACAAGATTTTTTAATCTATATATTTTCCTATTTTTCTCCGAGGTTCATTTCCGTTACCAGTTGTTGTATTACAAAATGTCAGTCAAATTGACCAATCAACAGCTTTGTCCACATTTCTGATCGAAACGACGTCATAATTTCTAAAGTCGACTCCGATTGGTGGGCGCGCGAGGTCGCATACAATTTGCATTGTCCACATAATTATATTAGACGTTGTTCACGTGGAGGGGGGGGGGGGTGTTCCGTTGGACAACGGGTGATACTCAGACTATGATCCAGGAAAATTTTTCTTATTTATGGATATGTAACCGATAGTGCGCTAAACTAAATTCGATCAGTTTAAGGTTGCATTTGAAAACAAAAGAGTTTTGTCCTAACCATCGCGGCGCAATAATGGTATATTCCCTTTCTATCAAAAATGAAAGCATGATATAAGCCCAATGACTTCACACGGTACTTCGTATTACTTACTTACAATCAAATAGAACTTTTAATATAGGTTTTCCCGGCCAATTTCCTAAAATGTCCATTCACTTCTGAAAATCGGTCATTCGTTTTCGTCTGAATTTGAATGTACGTCTTTAATCCAATTTCAATTCAACGAAAGTCCAATTGTATTCATTGTCTGTGCATTCGATTTTGAAAAACAGAATGCCAATTACGTTACCTGTGCATTCATTTACGCAAGCATACCTTTTCGCACAGAGTTCTGGCATACAATTTCGTGAATGGGCAATCAAAAGAACGTTTTTCTCATTCAAAATAGCAGATTGCATCACATAACATTAAACTAAGAGTGAAATACAGGGTGTATCAAAAAAAAGTAGACTATCCAAAAAGTACTCACCAAATTCACAATTGAACATTTTCATGAAATGTTTTCTTTTGCATAATGTTGGTATGGACGTCCTGGTTCGGTCCACACCAAAATTAATTGCATAATTTCATGCATGGCTGAACACAGGCCCGTTTTCCGGTGGGCAATAAAATGTCCTTCCTCCAAAAAATGAAAGGGTTAAAATTGGATGAAAAGTCTTAAACTGTAATGCAAAATGTGAATTTTTGTTTTTCTACGCCGCAATACTCAAATTAACCCTTTGTTTGCTGCTTTTTGCACTGGGGCAATGGATAGCCTTTCATGTGTTTGTAATCAAGCATGCCAGAGGGGCATGGCATGTTTTTACACCTGATGCGACATGCGAAGGAGAGCGCAAGTGTGACCGTCGAGGACTAAGTTGATGAAAAACAGGGTATTAAAATGATTAAATGTGACTTGCTCCTCAAAATGTCCTCTCTAAGGATGCGGGTGGGTAGTGATCACTTGTAAACCACCGCATGGCCCTCCGACTCATTCCCATACATCCATTGCCCCAGTGCAAAAAAGCAGCAAACAAAGGGTTAATTTGAGTATCGCGGCGGAGAAAAACAAAAATTCACATTTTGCATTACAGTTTAAGACTTTTCATCCAATTTTAACCCTTAAATTTTTTGGAGGAAGGACATTGTCTTGCCCACCGGAAACGGGCCTGTGTTCAGCCATGCATGAAATTATGCAATTAATTTTGGTATGGACCGAAGCAGGACGTCCATACCAACATATGCAAACGAAAACATTTCATGAAAATGTTCAATTGTAAATTTGGCGGGTACTTTTTGGAGAGTCCACTTTTTTTGGATACACCCTGTAGAATGACCAATGTTTGAAATCGCCCTCTAAAAGCGAAAAGGAAGTCTCGTAAACGAATCTGATTGAGCATAAACGAAATGAGCTGCTAAATCACTTAATTGATTGAACTGAAACGGGATCTAATACTTTGGTAGCAAAAGTGAAACGCGTGTTCTGAGCAATTCTCCAATTCAGACGAAAATGAATGACCGATTTCAGAAGTGAATGAACATTTTAGGAAATTGGCCGGGAAAACCTATATTATGTCAGTTCGATATTTGAATTTGTGTAAATATTTTAATCTTTTGAAATAGGCCTATGTGTGAGTCAAAACCAGATTTTCCTCTGCTCAAACCCACTGAAATTCATAGTCACTTGATTAACTACAATGCATACTTGGAATCTAATGTGGCCGCCATTTTCGCGAGAAGCCGCTTTTAATTTTTGACTTTTCTGCACATATTTCTTTGTTTTGGAATACTTTTTTTTTTTTGCAATTCTTGCATGAAAGAGTTAACATTTCGTTGAGTTTTTTTTGTGTATTAAAGTTTGCATGAGTGCCTCATGTTATTGTTTTTTATTTGTTTTTAATATATGTGTTGGGGTGTTTGTTGGGTGATTGTCCATGTTTTGTAGTGTATGGATCTGGGGTTTTTTTGTATGTGAATTTGTGCGTGTTGCTACCTGTTCTTAGTTTGATTGTTTTTAATCATATATATTGACTATTGTTAATAAATTATTTTAATTTATGTTTGTTTCTTTTGGTTATATTCCGTTTTATATGTTTTCATTATGTTACTTATTGCATAAATTATTATATTATTATTATTTATTAGAATTTGTATGATTGAACAATTTTACGTTAAGGGGATAACATCACTAAAATGATGATTGTGCCCCCTACAGTTGGTAAAGTGCCGTTTAGCGGTAGGTATGGGTGTCAAAAGTTGTTTAAGTTGATGGGTACTGGCCCAAAGAAATAACGTTTAGGGGTTTTTTACCAATAATGGAAAAAACATATAGTAGAGCACCTTCTTGTGGTTACCGCTGTGTAACTAAATGACGTCATATTGTAAATTACCAACAAACCAAAATTCCTCAGGAAAATCGGCCATCGTACATATGGATATTAAGCACACACCCCGGTCCTAAACAAAACACCTAAATAGCCCAACCCTTGTAGGGTAATCAAACAAACATTATACAAAACGGTATTTGAAACAATTTTGGATTCCTGAGTTATATTTTATAACTTCTTATAAATATATATCAAATTTTTTATATTAAATTTGGACTACCAAAGAGCAAAGTAGCTACTTTTTCATTTCTAAACTCCATATCATTTTCCTTCGTCAATTTAGTACGTCGGTCAGATGCTCAATATGAAGAAGTTTTGTTTTCAAAAATGCGATAAACGCCATTGTGTTACCTGTAAAATCCGCTCTCTCTTATCTGTATGATATACAAAAGACTGTTCTCAATGTTTGTAGCAGGTTAAGTGTGTCAGTGTGATAGCTATGAGTTTATAGACTACAGTTATTTTATTCAGCCAAGCATAGTTCAAGTAGCCTACTTTAAAAAAATGTACATATAGAAATGTATAAGTTACTTGTTTGCAATCATCAAGTAGAAAATCAATTTTACTGAAATAATGGCTTGTTTGTTTAGTTAAAAACAAACTAGACGCGACGTTACACTGAACGATGGACCAGAAAGATTGTGAACGACAAAAACAAAACAGTATGGCACAGCATTCCATTGCGATAAGACTATTTGACAAAAAGAAAAAAAAAGTGAACTGAATTCGATAGACACATTATCAAAACATATAGACATGAATACATAGAAACAATAAACAATTTATCTGACAACTTATAATAGATGTAAAGCCCCTGTCACACTTTTGCGTATCCTAATTCCTTATGAGTTCCTTATCAAAATTTTTCAATACGCAGCCGTCCGTACGCTCAAAACGTCGAAATTTTTTGATTACTTTGACTTATGTGCGACCGCACATCTAGCGTACAAGTAACGAATTCAGCGCATCCTCTGCGTATGAGATGCGTATGAGTTGCGTATGCAATGCGCAAGTGCACTATCTGTGCGTTTCACATAAGTTACGAATAAGTACAATGCGCTGCCCGCTCGCAGGACGAGCGGTACTAATTCGTGCAATAGACCGCTTGCAGACGCGTTCGATAATTGACGCGCGAAGGTGCGCAACGCCATGTTGTGGGACAAAATGTGCATGGGCCTTATAACAGATAGCTCGATTTTGCCACTGCGCATGCGCGCGCAAAGGACAGTGGGAAAAATTGTTGGTAAGGAAATTTGTTAATACTTTTTCGTCACGTCGCGTCGTACCCGTACGTACAAAGAGCGCCTAGTTTGAAAGTGTAACCATAATTATCATTTTTATTTTTATCGTTTTAAGAAGTTGAGTAATTTGTTCAGCATGAACCTTGAAGTCACTGATGAAGAACTTTGGGGATGTGTCAGGCAGTTCGACGTGAAAACATTGCAGGAATTTCTGTCAAAAGTGGACGTTCCGAAAAGCGGTTCTAAAGACTGTCTGCAAAAGCGGCTGTTCTATGCATTGAAGTTGGGACTCCCCATAGTGCCCACGGCCAGTAACGAAGAACTGAGCAGACGTGAAAGCCGGGAGAGAAAGCTTCGCTTTGGAGAACAATTTAAGTTGCCTCACCCCCTCACTCTCGATGGCTGGGAAGGTACATCCGCAAATCTTCCACCAATTACAGAAGAAAAAGTAAACCATTATTTCCGGACACGTAAGTCACTAATACATGTATGATGTAACGTTTACAGTCTTTTAAGTTCAAAGACAAAGAAAATTATTTAGTCTGACCTGGTCTAGTCTCACGGTGACACTTAGTGATTTTAGAGATTTATCACCTGATTACCATGATTACAATTTACATTTCTGGGAGTGTGAAAAATGGTTTGGAATGATTTTTTTTTTTAAATTTGCTTACTATTAAAATGTTTAATATAATAATTTGGGTAAAAAGTGCATCAAGTTCCAATGAGTAACTGTGTTAGCCTTTGACAATTGTCATGTATATTTTGCAACAAACATGTACATGATGTACAGTATAGTAATGGTACATTATGTACATGTACCATCTTTATATACTGTAGTAGTATTCCAAGTAACTTGGACCCAAATATCACCTTTTTAATATTTGGACATGGTCGGGTGATAGGCTAGTAGAGTTCAAGTGAAAGCCCTACGGATCGCGGTACAAAATGTCTGCACATCGACCCCCCTGACCTCCCACACTTATCCCCCCCCCCAAAAAAAAAATGTCACGGAAAACGGCCATATTAAAAAGGTGATATTTGGGTCCAAGTTACTAGGACTACTTGTAGTAGTAGCCGCCTAGTGCACTGGACTCTCTCCATAATCCTTGGCCCTAAACACATGTGTACACAATCACACTGAATCACAGGGGAAAATTTTGAACAATATATTTCTTCTTCCGGAACTATGAGCCCTGATATTCCACATACACTTTCACCGGGTATTCACCATATACCATGCCATGCCTTGTATGTGCTCTTTCTCAAAAAGGGTAATATCCTCATTTCTACTTTTCGTGAAATTTGGCTCCAAAGTTGGAGAGAAATTTTGAGTTAAGAGAAAAGTAGAAATCAGGATATTGCACTTTTTGTGAGAAATCACCTGGCATGGGTAAGTGAGAGTGTATGTGAAATTTCACGGCGCATAGTTTAAGGGAAAAAACTAGTTCTCAAAATTTCCCCCTGTGATTTTTTTCACATGTTAATAGGGCTACTGATATGGAGGGAGTCCAGTAGCGTGGCCCTAAACTAAGGCTACTTTACATGTATACATATAGACCATCACCGTGACGACCATGTACATGTATTAAGAAAGCTATCTAATTTGCAAAACCTAATTCCTCTAATCAGGAAACAAAGAACTTGAGATAAGTACAGATGGCAGCAAATCTCTCGGTCAAGGAAGGAGCATGGCAGTTTCCAGGGGCAGGGTGCACACAGTTGAACACCACCACATCAGTGATATTGTAGGTGAGACAAATATCAAAATGAATGGGAGATTGCAACCACATTTCTTTTGGGGGCTGTTCTACATGTACACTGTATTTATCACATGTTTCTCTTGACCATTGACTGAGTACATATGAATGGTGTGGTGGAAAAATTTACATGTACATGTGCATGTATACAATGTACAGTGTACTAATTCTTGAAGTGTGATATGTTTACAAAGTGTCTAAATCTGCAAATGACAAATGAGGGAATTAACAAGTCATTTACTTATTTTTTCAACAGGGCTCAGCTACATTCGAGGACTGGTTGTACCACAAACAAGAGTTCATGAGCAGCCATACATGGTGTGGATCCTTGTATTTAAAAATACAGGTGTTATACATCAGGCAGATTGTCATTGCATTGCAGGGTGAGATTCATGACCGTACATAACAAATGGGCCATATGAAGTTGCAAACTGTATTTTTTTTATAAAAAAAGACAAGTTCACACTTCACACAAATGCAAAGCCATGCGAATGTCACAAACTCCGCAAATGTTCTTCATTTGTGAAATCTGCCATTACACTTAAGGTAATAAATTAGTTTTGCTCACAAATTGGAATGAAGTATTAACAAGCCTAAAACTTGAAATCACTGAAACTGGGCATTGACGTTGAATTTCCCATTCAAAAGGGAGCTGCTGTATTTGTTCTTAAATTCTGAGTGTGCTTCTGCTGTAGGGTGTCACACTCAAGTTAATTTTTGGGGGGTTTTGAGGGGAGGGCTGATTAGTTTACCATTTACCAACAGATGGTGATTGAGAAAGAAAAATAATCATTCTGAACAAAATTGGTCTGTTATTGTGTAATTTGTGTAGTTTGGAAAGGCTGAAGTGCAACAATCTGTTTTCTGTTGTTTATTGTTTTTTATGTTCTTCTTTTTTATCTCCCTTCTCTTAACAAATTTAGGCTCAGCGGTATGTGTAAACACGTTGCAGCACTATTGTCATTTGTGACACAACAAGTGGAATGTGGTTCCAGTGAGTCATGCACAAGCCAGCTTCAACAGTGGCACAGGCCAAGCAGCAGCAATCTTAACCAGAAATTAAAGACATCGGCATTCCTGAAAGACATTAAAACACCCAAAGTGTCATCTTCAATGTGTGACAATAGGAAGGGTCGAAGGGACATGTTTGATCCCCGCGCTGTGGTAAACAAGAAAGTAAGAAAGCTATGCGATTATGATTTAGATAGTTTGGCTGACATATCAAATGGTAAGGCTGCAGTGCTCTTATATGCAGCACATCAAAGGCATGTTCACCCAACATTGACATCAAAGCCGGATATCAATCATCTAAATTCCACATTAGATGAAGATATATCATCATCTTCACCAATTAGAGTTTCATCTGTTGTAGATGCCTTTAGAGAAGTGAAGAAAAGTGCAGGTACTGATGCAGCCACATACACAGCTATGACAAAAGAGATGGCCTGTAGTGGTCGCAGTAGAGAGTGGTTGGCTGAATCAACATGTCAACAGGCAGAATCACATATGTGGCACAAACACAGAGTTGGGCGCATAACTGCCTCTAACATGGGGGCTGTTACGAAACACGTGGATGAATCTGGGAACCTTACTGGCTCCACACATAGCATCATTGCTACTGTGATGTCTTACTATAAGGACTTTGTATCACCAGCCACCACCTATGGTAAAAAACATGAAGCTGTAGCAAAATCTAAATATCTGATGAAGATGCGCAGAACACATAGACATTTCAACTTGGAAAAGATTGGACTTTGCATATCCAGTAGTCACCCATTTATTGCAGCCAGTCCAGATGGTTATGTAAACTGCAAGTGTTGTGGAGCAGGACTTGTGGAAGTGAAGTGTCCCTTTAAAGACAAATCACTAACTGTAACACAATATGCATCCAAAGGGAAAACCTGCCTCACAGTTGACGAAGACAAAGTAAGCCTGAGAACAACCCACAATTACTATGCTCAGGTTCAGTGTCAGTTGTTCTGCACAGATAGGAAATACTGTGACTTTGTGTTGATGACTGAAGCAAAAGAAGATAGTATGTTGATACAACGTGTTTACAGAAATGATGAAATAATCAATCAAATGAAACACAAGGCATCAAGTTTCTGGGCCAATGCAGTTCTGTCTGAGCTTGAAACTGGAGCTGTAGAAAAGAAAATTGCACTGAAATATAAGGAAATGCAAACTGAACCTTAAAGCAAGTATTGTATATTGTTGTTCAAATTTCCTTGACCCAAAACTCCACCTCCATTTTTTTAAATCTTAAATTCATCGACAGGGCTTTTGATTGTATTCTGCACAGTGGACAAACTGATGGGGGATTCTGTTTAGAAATGGATACTTCACCACTGGCTTTTTGAGTGAACAAAAAATAACATGTTCAACCCTTATATACATGTACATGTAGAATGATTCAGTCCTATCAAACTGGGGGAAAATATATAACTTTTGAGAGGAAAAAGACAGATTTTCCAGAACAAGTTGTTTTCATAACAAACACTTGTAAAATAAAGGTGCAAAATAAGGAAAATGATTTTCTGTATGAAACATTCACAGTTTATTGCAGTTCAATGTATATATATTGTCATTTGAATCTTCACAAATTAATTATGGTGTATGGTTTCCAAGGTGTAGTGCAGCACTGCACAGGGATTTCAACAAGAATGCTGGAAGGTATATGTAAAACTTTTTCAAACAGAACTAATATAATGACAGATATGTCTCCAAAGGGACTAATCCATTGGATTTCTTATTCTACAGTTGTATATGTATTTAATAATTTATTAATTAAAATAAACTAAAGGGCATTAATTGCACATATATATATTTTTCATATATATACATGTATATACATCTACTCACCGGGTTCATTATTCATTAAACTAAAATTTACCATATTTATTGCAAATTCAAGTTTGTTAAATATTTTAAATCCTCTGGTAAACATTGTATAATCAGTTTGTATGAGAACAACTATTAAGAAAAAAGCATCAATAATGCCATTGGTAAAAACTTCATTTACCATGTTTACAATGTATGCCACAGTTGCTATCTCACTGAGAGGGTCAGGAATTACCAGTGAAACGGTTCATGTAAATAAATGTATTAAATTATACAGACGCAGAACAAACTCTCATATTGAATGATAACTCTCATTGTGCATACTTTTTTTGAGTACTTCATTCAAATGAAAACTGATAACCTCTGGTTAAAAGTCAGGCCTGGTTCATTTTAATATCTGTTTTTTTAAATTATCATCGCAATCATCATCTTAGTTTTGTTTGATCAAAATGAACAAACATCCCCCAACAAAAAACATAAGCTGTGTAGTTTTTGCACACTGATGCACAGCTGTATTAAACAACATTCACATCATCATAAACATTAACTAATGGGTGAACATTTTATTAAAATGTAGCATTTTTTGTTCACCACTAACTCTTTCCAACAACAGAACTTTTAAGGTTGGTAAGAGCACAACATACCCTAGCTGCAGGACCTATCAAATCCAGTTGAGACACTGGTATTTCACTTGACAAGTACTTGTAGTCACGTAACCTACCAATGACGCGCTCAATGTGAATTCGAGCATGTGCAATTTGCTTGCTCAATCTATTCTTTTCCTCAGTGAAAGGCTGGCCTTTATGTACAAAAGGTGGATGGATAAGTTCAACACCATACTCCAACAACTCCCCTTTGATAAGGAAACCTTTGTCAACCATACACTTATCACCAGGGGAGAATTTTTGGGGAAGGTTGCATGCAATGACAATCTCCTTGTCCGACATGTTTCCACCTGCTGGGGGTGATATGAAGGAGATAGATCCTCCTGGTGTACAAGCAAGGCAGAATTTGGTGGTGGCCCGATTCTTATACGATGAAAATACTTGTGTATTTGCCTCTACATGCGATGGTTTCTGGGTTGGGATTTCAAAACAATCTAATAGTGCTCTAATGCCTGGCCATCTCTTAAAACAATCTGGATAGCAAAGTTTGATTTCCTCCACTTCAGGCCAGTAAATCAATCCAGACAGTTCATGGCTCAACAACGGAATCCATGTGGATAATATGGAGGAGACTGTGGGCTGCTTAACATTAAAAAGGTATGCCAGGTACTCCTCCATCATGTTAAGTCTTAACTTCATTAAAGTTATCAGGAGTTCATTTTCTTTAGACACCACCCGACTTGGTCCAGGCTTTTTCTGGTTGGTTTCTATATATTTTTTGGCCTTTTCTGATCCATTACCATGCCAATATTTCATATTTTCTGATGCCTTGTCAACTTCTTTATAAATCCACTTGAAGTACTGATATGACGGCAACCCGGTATGAAGCTGAATAAGTTCATCAGAATGCTTTATTGACTCAATGGACACTTTTGGTCCTTTCATGATCTGCTGTGTGCACTTCAATGCACTTTCAGGTTCAGTGATTTTTTCACTTAGCTGGATATTTTGTGTTTCCCTAAGAGTTGAATCTCCATGGAAGTAATTTTCATAAAGTACTTCTTCTTTACATTCCACTGCTGTTAATCTTTGTTTTTTATTGTTGTGCTTCCTCCAAGCTACACCCTCTTTTCTATTACACTGGTGTCCACAATGAACCATCTCTGTGGACTGTTTGAATGTTTCAGGTTTGGCATATGAATGGAAGGCAGGTATTGAATAAGGATTACAGTCTTTCCTTTTATTAGCGCAGACAGAGTCAACTTTAGTGGGCTGAAACTGAGCCGATAACCAACCGGTCCCTTCACACAAGGCTCCATATCTATAAATATGGAGGGCCTCTAAACATTTTCCTCCCGGCACAATTGGTGCAACTTGCTGTAATAACTGTCTAGCCTCAGTACTAGACATGGACAGCAATTTTTGGAAAATACAGTCGCTGTTCTTTCCAGGTTGTACTCTCAGCTGCTCCGCAAGTCTAGTTGTTGTCTGTGGGTCCAGATACTTACACACATGCACCAATGCATGACAAATCAGTCCATTTTCTACTGCTGCAACTTCCTTAGCTGCCTGTTTTCTTGACAATGCCCAGTCCGGGTAGGAACGCATGTACAGTGTAAGAACAGAACTCCCTGCTAATGGCTTACCATACCTGTGATGTGAAATGTTAAAAGTATTTTATTAGGGAAGAAAGGTGAAACAGTCACAGAGCTTAATTACATTACTAGAGATCTAACTCCTAACAAAGAGCAAACGCTGCTGATAGCATCCATGTTTGCGCACAAATCTATAAGCTCAAAATATGCACAAATTCATAACCTGAGACAAGTATTAAAACAACACTCATTCTTGCAACTATTCTGGATTTTTACAGACACTACGGTGGGAGATGCATGCAGAACAGCCATGCTATGACATTTCAGATAATCAAAATTGTTCTTCCATGCACAAACATGTCATATGCAAACAGTGGCATCACCAGACTTTTCAGTCTGGGGGGGGGGGGGCACTGGGGGGGCACCAGCATTTGATGGGGGGCACTTAGGTGGATACGGATCGCCGTCCTGGGGGAGGGGTCTAAGGGGAGGGGAAATTTTCGCATACGGAGGATGGGCTAGATGCAAAATGGTGCCACATTTGATGCTAAATTCGATCTGAAGATATCTCAAGAAATTGCTATTTTTGAGGTACAGTAATGATTTTAACAACGCGCAGAATTTTGCAGAGGATAGGGGGCACCAGCATTTGATGGGGGGGGGCACTCGGGGGGGGGGCACTAAGTTTTCCAGGGGGGGCACGTGCCCCCCCCCCCTGGCCCCCCCCCCCCCTTGGCGACGCCACTGTATGCAAATCATCAGAAAATATACAAATACAAGAATATGATAACTTACAATTGACCTATCGCAATAGAATCATGAGAATATACAGTTTGTGAACATTGTCGCATCACATGAACTAAGTATGATGCAAAATGAATGAAACTGAAACTAACAAAGAATACCGCACAGTTTTCAACAAGTACATGTATTAAAAAGGAAGGACTTACTTGAAGTGATTACTGCAAATTCTTGTATACTGTGACACCCTGTAATCCGTCTTGTCAAGCTTCTTTTCCCATTTAGTGTAGTCCTCTGCATGTGCCTTATGGAACTGTAGTTCAATTACATGTGGCATAACAATCAACCTGAAGAATTATATAAGGGATAAAATTATACAAAATTATACAGACTATATAAAATAGATATATTCAGTGCCCCCCTTGAAAAATTTGTGCACCCCCGGGTGCCCCCTCGGAAGTATGACCCTAGTTACGCCGCTGGTAAAGGGCACTCTTTATCAGGGCAAAATCCTGTTATAAAGAGAAAATGCAAAATCTGAGATCCCGAGTCTCATTAAATTATTTTATTTTGCAGCGTTCTTTTATGAAGGTCCTGTTTGTAATTTCGCTGTTTAAGTTTGCTACATGAATAATGAGAGTTCACTTTATAGGGTTTAGTAAGTTGGTCAAAATCAACAATCCTTACCTATCCCTGTATTTTGAATTGTTCACACAGGATGCTGCTGCACAATGCATGATTGATATCACAATCTCACTTGGAGAGAAAATGCTGATTACTGAGGAAAACTTGATGTGCACACTATTCAGTTGAGGTCATGAAGTGCCGTGCATGTTACACTAGCTGCAGATGGTTGAGAATAAAGGTGCAGCCAGACTGTACAGGACATGTCGACAAGCAGCACATCAGGAGACACAATAAAAGCCTACCGGAAAACAAAAAAACATGATAAAGTTACCTCCAAAATTTAAAGCTGCATGCATATTGTGGCGGAAAGTGTTTAGTTGTGACGTCATACCATAGCACTAACGCTTAATCACTTGTGTGCAGTGACCGGGCGGAGCTTACGAGCTCCGTGGGCTGCTGCGCGTACGTGATTGGGCAATAACTCCCATAAGTTTAGCGCACCATAGGGTTAGTACACGCACATGGTTTGTAGACATGACGTAGCGTCTACATGTGCCTGGTATATAAATGCGTGCCTGGGGAGCGCGCTCTGTTTTTGGAAGCGTTTTAGCGGTATAGTTGTTGAGACTGATTGATACAGTTGTGACAATCGTTGTTAGGTGAGATACTTGTGTGTCTAGGTTCGGGGCTCAGCTGTTTTCGGTGTTGAGTGCCGGGTGTCTGGAGATAGCGGGCTAGGGCGTAGCTGCGACAGCGGGCAGAGAAGTAGGTAAATTACTTGTACTCTGCGTGTATAATTGCTTAGGCGATTTGTGTACAAAGTCTGTGTAGCTGTACTGGGGTTGCGCTGGTATGTGTAGCTGAATTCTGGCTTACACACACGGCGTAGCGAGTACCCTGCTAACGGACTGTATACATTGCTAAGCGGCTGTTGTGTGCTTGTAACGCTGTGTATTGCTGACTCAGTGATTCATTCGTAGCGCTGTGCATAGTTGCTCATTGCTGCCATTGTTGTCTGGTGCTTAATGCTGTGTGCGTTGTTGCATAGGCAAGCAGCGGGCTTTCTCCAGTAACTAAGGACCCTGTTAATAAAACAACCCACCGAATCACATCCTAATTGTTGTACTTGATTATTGTTGAATAAATTACGATCATTGTTGTTTGAGATTACCGACAATTCTGCTTCCAGTGTTTGTGTTTACAGGTTTATTGTGCAGTTAATTAACAGAGATAAATAGTCAACACTCATTCATAATCGGGCGGTAGATTTCCACCAAAACGGACCTGCACCCTTAGCCTTGAAGGTCGCTCTGAGTGATCTCTCGTCTAGGGAAGAGCCTTGGTTTGGGAAGATTGTCTTCACCCCACTAGGAGTCAGACTTATCCTAACAGACTTAGGTTGGCCCGGGGGTTCCCGCCACAAATGGTGTCAGAAGTGGGATGATTGTGAATGATTAAGTTGATTTCTCTGTTGAATAATTGAATTGCACAATTGTTGAATTGTTGTTGTGGTTCTGTGGTGATTTCGGTGGTTGTTTGGAATGATGAGCGAAGGCTCTAAGGGTCGAGTGGGCACCTCAAGTGCTGAGGCCGAGGTGCAAAGACTGCGTTTGGAAGCCCAATTTCTGCAGTGGGAAAATGATCTCATTGCAAAGAAGTTGAAGGCTGCCATGGAGTTGCAGTCGGGTGTTTCCCCAAAGGAAGGAAACATGGACGCGCCAGGTGGAAGCCGGCGTGTGCTCCATCGGGTTGATTCTGATGTTGAGCTCAGGTTGCCCGAAGAGACTTCCGGGTATGTCTCTGGAGCAACGGAAAGAGTTTCAGGCGCAAATATGGTGCCTGAGTTAGCCCCTAAAGTGGGGAGGGAGGTGACTTTCATGGAAAGTTCGCCTCAGAAAGGACAGAGCTCAGGGATATTCCCCCGAGCGCAGTCGACGCCTGTTGCCAGGAAGACGGATGATCCAAATGGTGATCTGATGTCGTTCATCCCTGAAGGTGGCGTGGAACGGGGTTTGGCGAGTACCAACCCGTTCGTTGGTGACATGGGGATGGTAAACCCTAAACAGGTGAAGAGCGAATTGTTAAGTTTTGCGACTCGACCAGTCGAGGCGAAGAACAACAGTTCAGCTCAGGTTGACATCTCGTCGGTAGGTCCGTGGCCACTGAAAAGAGAGGCACGGGTCCATAGTGATGTGGGTCAGATGGGTAGTTTGGAGCGACCAAATCGCAGGCCAAACATAACCCCTGATCGGTACAGCGGAAAGGTGCTCTGGAAGGAGTACTTCCGCCATTTTGAGTCGTGTCGTGAGGTGAATATGTGGAGCGAGGAGCAGGCTGCGAGGTGGTTAGCCGCAAGCTTGCAGGGAGACGCTCTACGGTTATTCGGTGACTCTGGCCACAAGTACACGTATAGTGCGCTTGTAAAGTTGCTGGAGCGCAGGTTTGGGTCAGCTCGACAGAGTGAAAATTATCTCGTCGAACTGAGACATCGGCGCCAAAAGCCGAAGGAGACTCTGCTTGAATTAGGGCAAGCGATTCACGAATTGACAGCGAGAGCATACCCTGAGTTGCAGGAAGATGCTCGTGAGAGGTTGGCTCAGAACCACTTCATAGATGCTGTTGACAGTCATTCAGTTAGGGAGGGCATCAATAGGGCTCGTCCAAAAACTTTGGATGAAGCAGTCCAGGCTGCCCTGGAGACTGAGAATTTTGAGAAGGTGGAACAGCACAGATTGCTGGACCGGAAGCCCGCTAAATTGGCAAGAGCTTTGGGTTCAGTAACTGAGCAGAGGCTGGACACTCTTGACGAAAATCTCAATAAGCAGGCCAAAACTTTGGACTCTGTGGCTGAATTGGTGAAGTCTTTGTCAAGTCAGATTAAAGGTCAAGGTCAGGGTAAGGGCGTGTTGTCTCCCCAGACTCACAAGCCCGGTATGCCTGAACCTGGGGCCTTGCGGTGTTTCAGATGTGGTGACAAAGGGCACTTTGCCCGGGAGTGCAAGAAAACTCCAAAGCAGGGAAACGTCAGTCAGCCCCCCGTAGAACCCGCGGGAAGGCTGAGTGGTCAAAAGGGTTCAAGAGACAACACAGTGACAGCGAGGGTGGTGGTGGAGAGAAAAAGTCGAAGCCTGGGGATGGGCAACGAGTCATAACTCTGCCTAATCCCAGTAGTGGAGCTCGTTATGGTTTGTTTGTTGATGGGATGGTCAGGACGACAAAGTGTCGATTTTTGATCGACACGGGGTCCACCGATACTTTGATAAATAGTACGGTGTACTACCAAATTCCTAAGGAGAAAAGACCCGTCTTACAGACGGATGATGTTCAGGTAAAGCAAGTTGACGGTAGTCAGCTAGCCGTGTTGGGTATAGCTTGGGTAGAGGTACAGGTGGGTCGAACCACGCACCAAGTCAGGGCAGTGTTTGTTGACATGAAATACTTTGGTATCCTGGGCATGGATTTCCTGGTACCCACAGGTGGAAATTTAGATTTCCAGTCGAAAGAGTGGAGGCTCAAAGGTGAGCGAATCAAATGCACGAATGGTGCTGGCGAGCATTTTGTTGGTCGTGTTGTAGTTTCTAAAACTACGGTGATTCCATCAGGTCATGAGGCCGTGGTCCCGGGTATAATTGCTCGGAAGGGTGCCGACTTGTTCGGGCCGGCCATGGTGGAACCGATGGAAGGTGGCGGTGACCTAGCCAAGAAGGGCTTGGTGTTGGCCAGATCTCTGGTTGAGACTGAAGCCGATGTTGTTGCGTTGCGGGTCTTCAATCCCGGAAGGGAGAAAAGAGTTGCACGTGAGGGGACAACAGCGGGACTGATCTCCCAGGTGGAAGTTGGTTCAATTCATGGTGAGTTGGATAGGGTGACAAATGCTGGTGAAGAGTTACCCCAGCACTTGCAAGATTTGTTTGAGAGGGGTACAGCCAATGTGGAGGCTAAGTACCATGGGGATGTCCGGAAATGTCTTGTAGACTTTCAGGACGTGTTGTCCAAGGGTGACCATGACATTGGTCGCACGGACGTGGTGCAACATCACATAAATACTGGTGATGCTAAGCCGGTGAAAGAGCGGATGAGGCGTCATCCATATTGCCATCAGGAGGAAATCAAGAGGCAAGTCGGTGATTTGGAAAAGAGGGGGGTGATTGAACCTTCCGACAGTCCATGGGCGGCAAATGTTGTTTTGGTTGACAAAAAGGATGGTACGAAACGCTTCTGTATTGATTACAGAAAGTTGAATTCGGTGACCATCAAGGATGCCTATCCAGTGCCGCGCATTGATGAAACATTCGACGCGTTGGGAGGGGCGAAGTGGTTTTGTACACTTGACTTGGCGTCGGGGTACTGGCAAGTCGCTCTGGATGAGGACGCCAGCCAAAAGTCAACATTTGTTGTGAGAAGCGGGTTGTACCGGTGGAAATGCATGCCTTTTGGGCTGTGCAATGCCCCGGCGACATTTGAGCGGCTCATGGAAAAGGTCATGGCCGGTTTGCAGTGGGAAATCCTACTGATTTATTTGGATGACATCATCGTGTTTGGTCAGTCGGTGATGGAGACCCTAGAACGTCTCCGAGTTGTGTTGGACAGGCTAAGAAACGCTGGGCTTAAACTCAAGCCCAGCAAGTGTCATTTGTTTCGGAGGTCGGTGGCTTACCTAGGGCACATTGTGTCCTCAGAAGGGGTAGCAACAGATCCTCAGAAGATTGAGGCAGTGGCAAATTGGCCGGTTCCAAGGTGTGTACGAGATGTGCGAAGCTTTTTAGGCCTCGCATCGTACTACCGGAAGTTCATAAAGGGGTTTGCAGAAGTGGCGAGTCCACTTCATGCGTTAACCGAGAAGTCAAGAGAGTTTAAGTGGACTGAGAGTTGTCAAGAGGCATTTGACGAGCTGAAGGGCAGGCTTCAAGCCGCCCCAGTTTTGTCATATCCAATGCCCGAGGGTGACTTTATCCTGGACACCGATGCCAGTGGTGAAGGTATTGGGGCGGTGTTGTCGCAGGTCCAGGGTGGTGACGAAAAAGTGCTTGCGTATGCGAGCCGGAAGCTCAGCAAACCTGAGCGAAATTACTGTGTCACTCGTAAAGAGTTGTTGGCTGTGGTTGTGTACTTGAAGTATTTCAAACAATACTTGTACGGCCGCAGGGTAACGGTCAGAACTGACCATGCCGCATTGCGGTGGGTACTTAATTTTAAGAACCCCGAGGGTCAGCTGGCAAGGTGGATTGAGGTCCTGTCTCAGTATGACTTGGTCATTGAGCACAGGAGTGGCAAGAAGCATGGTAATGCTGATGGGTT